ATGAGGGACTTCGCTACACGCAAGTCTCTGCAGGACGGTCTCACACTATGTTGATCCGAAGTGACGGAAGCGCTGTTGCATGCGGAGGAGAAGACCCAGAGCGTGCAGAACAGTGCAACATTCCAGCTTTGGATGAGGGGCTTCGCTATGCCCAAGTCTCTGCAGGACGGTCTCACACTGTGTTGATCCGAAGTGACGGAAGCGCTGTTGCATGCGGAGGAGAAGATCCAGAGCATGCAGAACAATGCAACAGTCCAGCATCGGATACGGACATTTGCAACACCCAAGGCTATGCAGGAAGCATGGTTTTGCTATAAGTCGATTTTTTACTTTCTCTACACTTCCTGGAACTACCATGGAAGTGGAGAATGGCCCCTTGGAAGACCATTTTCCACTACAAACAGGTGGTGCCATCCACTTCCATGTTAGTTCCAGGGAGAGTAAATTTGCTTAGGGGAAATGACTGTTTTCCCGGTTCCTCAAAGAAATCCAAGGAAGGCGTAATACAGTGCTGATCCGAAGCGATGGAAGCGCTCCTGTTTGTGGAGAAACAGGGGAATGCGACATTCCACCCTTGGAGGAGGGAATTACCTACACACAGGCTGCAGCATCGAACCACACAGTACTTCTCCGAAGTGATGGCCGCGCTGTTGCTTGTGGGGTCAATGACTTGGGCCAATGCGACATTCCGGCTTTGAATGAGGGAATTCGCTACACCCAGGTGTCCGCAGGAGGGGTCCATACAGTGCTTCTCCGAAGCGATGGCCGGGCTGTTGCTTGCGGAGGAAATAGGTTTGGACAATGCAACATTCCAGCGTTGGATGATCGAATGTCCTACACCCAGATTTCCGCAGGAGAGACTCATACAGTGCTTCTGCGAAGTGATGGAAAGGCAGTTGCTTGTGGAGGAAGACTCTGCGGACAATGCAACCTTCCAGCATTGGATGAAGGACTGTCCTACACGCAGATTTCTGCCGGATCGCGCCATACAGTGCTACTCCGAAGTGATGGCCACGCTGTTGCTTGTGGGGAGAATAGCTGGGGAGAATGCAAGATTCCCTTGTTGGAGTCCATCGAGCCTTCATGGCATGATCTCTTCACGTTATTTGCATGCACTCGTCCTCCGCTCTTGGGCCGACTGACTCTGATCTCTGCGAATCCATTGGCAGCTTTGGATGAACTCAGTGAAGTCCTGTCAACGGAGAGCACAGATGCCACCGACGTCGAGGTAGAAGCAGCTCATGCCAGAGTGCGCAGAAGATGCAGGACTTGCAATTTTTAGAGTGAACCGCAGGCGGACTTGCAATTCGGTGAACCGTGGGGTCGCGTCTGGGCTCACGTCTAATCTACTGTTCTGTTCCAATCGGTGCGGTAGGTGGTTTCAATGTCGGGCTTCCGTCCGGCATTGTGTGATATGTTGAGAGAACAGTGTGATGTCCTCCTTTGATGAGTGATAGATTTCATAGCGTGTTGCCACAACGAAAAGCGATGGCTTTCGGCTGTTTGCAGACTTATTGTACTGAAGGATGGGCATGAAATTCCAAAGACCAGGCCATGATTGACCGAACCAGTGTAAGACATCCAACAGCAAACACGGGACGTCCAAAATGGACGTCCACCGTCCAATTCGCTCGATGATCGGGCGCGCCTCAATGCACTCGATGTTTCCATTTTGGATCCACCGCGGATCCCGCGGTCCCACTGTACGCTAGTCCCGGAGGTTCGGGCCCGAAAAAAAGGTTCCAGCCAGCCATCTCGCGTTCGGGAAGGCGCTTTTCCGGAAGCGCATGGGTTGGTTTGGGATGCCTGAAGGAGAAGAAGTGGAACGTTCAGGATGAGGATGTAGAACTCTTGCCGCTTTTTCATTCCGGGGCAGAAAAAGCGTGCGAGCGTTATATTTCCAAGGCAGTGTGAAGGCAACGGGTACTGCATGGATCTTCATATGCTTCTCCATATTAGAAGCCTTCCAAGAATCGGATGTCCATTGGGGCCGGACCTCCTTAGCGTACCCTGCCACTCCAAAAAACACTCTTCTTTGACCACTTACAGTCCCTTGCCACGTAACAATAGACCCATTTCTTCGGCGCTGGGCGCCCTTTCGTTCACACCGTTCGCATCACTTGATGGACCTCATCTGCGACGGCAGATCGCGGGGGCCGTGGTCCCTCTGTGGTCCGTGGTCTCTTCCAAAAGTTGGTCCAAGACACGAAGGGGCCTGGCACACCCACAAAGAGGACAGAAAGGCCGGGCAGCTTCAAGAAAAAGGGCCACAGATGGGTGTCGCACTGCACAGGTCTCGAGCTTCGGTTCTGGTCGAACCGAAGCCTTCCGCACGCCGGGTTGATCCACTTCCGCTCCAGCTTCGCTGGAGGCCACACCGGTGGTCACCGCGGCGGTTGGCCAGGACGCGCCCCGCCCGGGCGGAGGATGGGACGGGCCTCGTTTGATTCCAAAGGACGGGTTCTCAAGGAAGGGGAAAGAAGCAGAGCAGCAGCACGAAGCCTCCCGTGTTTTTTTCCTATTTCTGATGCCTTTTCTGGATGTCTTTTCCATCCAAGAGCTGCCCAGCAGCTCCGTGGCCGCCCCCAGACGCCTTCACTCGATGGATTCGGTCAGGGTCAGGCCATGGAGGTTCCGAACGCTCCGTCCCCCGTCTCAGTGGGTCGGGTGTGAATCACCCAAGCGGTCGACCGGGGCGACCGTCCAGACCGGCGGAGCGGGGATGGAGGGCGGTGGTCGGCAGCTTCGTTCTTCCATGGCTGCCATGATTCGATTGGTTGGATGTGTGAAATCGATGACAAACACAGTAAGTTTCCTCCCACAAACTGGTCGACTTGTTCGGTGTTCAGGATGGGCTCAGCACACCTCGCGTAAAGCCCGCAGGCAGACCTCTTGAGTCAGGAGGCCGGAGCATCCCAGCCATCAATCAATGAACTCTGCAACAGTGACAGGGAGAACGGTAGGTTTAGCATGGTTTAGCAAGGTTTTTGGTTGGGGATGTTCTGATATGCGGCTTCGGTCCTCGTTTTCACCCGAATTCCCAGGATTGATCAGATCGCCTGATCGCCTGATCGCCGCCTGATCACCTGTATTCAATGATTTGGTCAGTGACCCGCGGAGCCTCAGGGCGAAGTGCCGTAGCGCCCAAGTGATTCGCCTTCGGTCCTCGTTTCACCCGAATTCCCAGGATTAACATGATCACTGCATCGCCGATGTCACCTTTAGAAATGCCTTTCCGGTGAGGGGAATCCTGAGACTGCATGAGACTGCATGAGATTGCAAGGGTTTTGCACATGGTGGAGACATTCTACTTCGGTCTTCACCGTCTTAACCTCAGTGGCTGAAGCAATGAGCCGCAATTCCGCAGACTGGGAGAGAGGTTTCACCGAGATCGGCGTCTGCGAAGCAGCTGCAGGAAATGGTAGATCGCATGGCGCCATTCAGACCTGGGAAGTAACTGTTGATTCAACAGAACCTTTGGGAAGCAGGTGATGTTACTTCAAGTTGTACCGACTCAGCTTCAATACCTTTCCCTTTCTTCTACTTCAAAGGAGGTGTCATTGAATATGTTTGAACGATGAATATGTATGAATATGTATCCGTATGGCCCTTTTCACTAGCTGGAAGCCTGATTCTATGCCTATTTCCGCGTTTCCTCGTTGTTTCCTCGTTGTTTGAGAGAAACATGCGAATGCAGATGTGATAGATCATGATAGATCAAGATCCGCCACAGGTTGGTCCCTCAGCATGTTGCACATCATCATCAACCATATCATGTTTCTCTTCCTTCCCTCGCAACGCACTCAGATCACACATTCTGGGGGACTAGAAGATCAAAGATGATTAAAGCATGTTAACATGGGCTCAGGATCCGCCTCAGAAAAGTCCAAATAGACCTGACCGGGGAGAAGCAACGAGCTGCACAGTTAGACAGGTAGACCCCTCCAAAGTGCGACGCCCTGCCGATTTGACGTTGACGAGGGCGTCCTGCCGTAGGATGGGTGTTGTGACAACACCATGGGTAGCTCTGAGCCGTTCGTTGTAGATGCACGATTCCAGGCTGAGCAACCCAAGTGTGCAGTTGAAAAGTGCTCTTGGCTTATTTATTTTTTCCACATGTGGGCCATTGTATTTGTGCATATGTGCGCCTCATTCAGAAGTCTGACTTGAACTGTGCCAATGTGTGGTGCTGTGCATTGTGGTTCGACTCAAAAAGGGGCGGCTTGTTGCCATCCAAATCTGCAGGATTATCTGCGGCCGGTGCTGGCATGTGTGGATCTTGATCTATTGCATCCAATTTTTCTTTCAATGGCTGGCCCAAACACATGTAACTCATATAAGGACTAAAGAAACGATGAAGTAGAATGGTCCCACGTCGCCGGCTGGTCCTGACACGAAATGGTGGGCCACGAACCCGGTCCGAACGGTAGGACTCCCTTGAGAACCGACCTCCGGAAGTTTTCCTTTTGGAGGTTCAAGGATGACGAGATCCAACATCCACTTCCATTTAGATGATTTTCAATCAACTGTGAAACACAGACACTACCAGGAGCATCCTGTCTGGGTGTCCTGGCTGGACTTCCCGGATAGCAGTGTAGGGTAGTCCAGCCAGGACACCTTTTGGATGGTCCAGGTTCTTCCCTGCAGACTATGGAAGACAATTTTCCTCTACAACCCAATGCTTTTGGGGGTCCATGTTAATCTGCTGGAGATTAGAAAATAATTTTCCAAGACCCTTTGCTACTCCATCCATCACAGAGTGGCGAAGAGGGGCACAGAGATTGCTGTTCGGCTGAGTCTCGTTTCGACTCTCGAAAGCAGGGGTTGTTCTGGATGCACTTCCGCAAGGTGGCAACAGGGCTTGGAAGATGATCATTGCTCGGCCAGGAGGAGGGTGTTTTCCTCCCTGCGACCCCGCAAGCACGTATCGACTACCTGTTTTTGTTGGGTGAACTATATGAACACGGAGCTAGCCTGGTGCTTTGAAGCCCGTCAGCTCAAGCTTCACTGACCTTGTCCCTTTCTTTGCAGAACAGCTCAAGCATCATGGCAGAGGCGCCGGTAATGGGGATGGGAAGTGCTCAACTGAGCAACTGGGAACTTGTCTACCCAGAGGCTCATGGACCCTCTAACTGCTGGAGGTGCAAAACCCTGGTTGTGACGGTCATTTCACCCTAGCGAACTGAGGGTCCTGCCTCTGAGCCTTTGGGTGGTGGTTTCCGATGAGCCACCTCCCACTGCCTCAAATTCGTTAGTGACCGTTGGTGCGTGGAAGCCACGAACCGGGTTCCGAGGGTTGGTCATCTTTGATACAGGTCTCACGGATGAGTGGCAAGGTGAACGGACGGGGCTGCTTCTTTTGATTGAGCCTTTCCCCTGCTCTCACCCTATGAACAAATGGATGAAACATCTTTTTTCAAGGAGACCAACTCGTTGCATTTCGCCCAAATCCAATGGCTCTCCTGCACTCTCCTGGCTTCTTCGCAACGGCTCGTTCGTCACGGTGGCTCTCGCGGTGGCTCCGTTCTCACATGAATGAACCGCGTAGTGGAGAGGCACGAGCAGGTGCCTTTCAGGTCGAACGATGGGACGGAGGGAACCCCGTTGATCTCTCGCATCTAGCGGCGACTTGGCGGGGAGGAGAGACGGAAAAGGCGGGGGCCACGGTTGGTCTGGCACGTTGCTCTGCATCGTTCCAGTCGGATTCCTGCAATCCACCAGCTCAATTGATTTTGGTCCTTGGTTTGGCAGGTCGGGTTTCGATCCGGTCCAGGGGAAGCACTTCGTTCGAGCCCGCTCCCGCGCGCGTTGCTGCGAACACCTCGATCCGCTCCGGCACTCCAGGGCACCATGCCGATGACCCTGCCGAAGCTCCTGGCGGGAGCTCAGCTTTCACACCTTCAATCCCAGGCCAGGACGAGCGAACCGCCGGAGCCCACGTCAGGAGAGGTCAACATGTACCAGGACCCTCCGGTCGGTTGTTTGGAGACCCCACCGGCAGGTGCTTTTTTTCTGCACACCGGACTTGGTTTCCACAGGAAGCACCGAACGAAGGGCGGGTGCTGGTAGTTGCCCTATGTTGCCCATACCTCGATCTATAGAGGTATAGATTGAATCATCATCAACTTGAATGTCTAGAAGTAGATTCATCCTGGACATGGGTGTTCGACCACCCTACGTCTACCAGGTTTACTACTCCAGGGCACCCGGACCGTGTCAGTGCTAAATAGAAGTAGATTGAATCGTCCTTGAATGATCTTTCACTTTCCGCGGCCCGGAGCG